GACCAAGGAGCTGAAGCTCCCCCCATCACCGTTTTCTGTGTCTATGGAACACACTCTGACCCGGCCGCTGACCAGTGCCTGAACCTCCCGTAGAGGAATCTGAGGTCGGGTTGGAGTCGGGGTTTAAGTAGGAGATTGTGACTTGGGACTTAGGGACCACACTTCTCCTTCTCTTAATGGAGCCCCAAGTTAAGGTGATTAACTGGAGCCACAGCTGTGTCTGCCACCCCATGTGGCAGGGCCATGGTCAAGAACCCACGGCCATCACTCACCGCCCGAGGAAGGTCATCCCACTAAGAGAAGCACGAGGGGTCTGAAGATAGTGTGGGACGGTGCACACGCCAGTGTTAGTGCCACCAGGAAAGGCCTAAAGGGTGGAGAAGGGGCCATTGAATCCACGGGTAGGACCCCTGCAAAGATCCTGGTGTGCCCCAGCTGTCACCACGTCAGGCCATCCATTCTAGCACGTGACAGCCCCCGCGGTGATGTCACTGGACACACTCTGGCACACGGCAGCAGGTGTGGTCTGATCTGGGAAATGCACATGTCCTCAAAGATAGAAGAAGCCAGTCGGGTGCGTTGCCTGGAGAGCATCGTGGCTCCCTCCACTGCCTTGCCAAGGCCTGGGTGCACCCTCCGGCTCTCTGCAACAGCCCACATATTGATACGATAATGCTCATCACACTTGGGGAATGGGGAGTGGTACATACTTGGGATTCCCTGCTAAGGTGCTTTGCTTCAGAGAAGGAAGGTAAAGCTACGGAGATTCAGGGTCCTGATGCATTGGTAGGAATCCAATGGTGTGGACATCCTCAGAACATCCCCTTTAAGGTAAAGGACAGATTACTGCCCATGTGCCTGGTATCACTAGGAAAGAGGCCCAGGAACTGGTAGGCCCACTGGATTTTGAAGCTAGCATGTAATAAGTGGGAAAACACTCCCACCAGGTGGGGTGGCTGTCAGGTTTCCAGTAGAGTCTGTGGCGCAAGGCAAGAGGGCTTTGTGCTGAGTTCAGGCTGCAGTGCGAGGTCCTGCCCCTTTAGCCATTCGACCCACAGGTTCAGTGCACTAAGAATCTGTGTAAGGACAGAAATGCTGGTGCTCCATAGGCTCATCTCCCTCCCGTTTCAGTGCTGAGCAGACAGCTGGCGTGGCATGTCGGGCGAGCTCAGCACAAGGCGGGGCTGGCACTGCCCAGAGCTCCTGGGGCTCCCCCTGGGAGGCCATTTCCCACCCCAGGAGGCCGCCACTGTTGTGTGACTTCAGAGAGGCGCCTGTTGTTCCTCTAATAAATCTGCTGGATGTGAAGGGGGCAGGTCCGCTCTGTCCTGGAATGCTGGTCATGGCACTTGCCGACTGCTGTGCCCAGCTTACAGTGACGAGGGCCAGGGCCTTGCCGATGTCCTGTTTTCCAGTTAACCCTGGCACCTGTCTGTGATGCCATCACGGGAATGGCTGCCCGGGAGGCAGAATGTGTCACCCTAGCTGGTTGGGGGTCTGAGCAGGAAGGACTATGCTGTGCTGCAGAGCACTAGAGGGGACAGCAGCACTTAGTCCTGGGGCCCAGGAGACTGTGGCTGCAGCCTCAGCTCAAACCCAGCCTGTTGTCATTGCAGCTGTATTTCCTGGAACCATTTTCAGTACCAAGTACCGTATCAGCCAGATTCTGCCAGGAAAATAGATCATGGTCCACGCACCTCACGCAGAAATGGACATGATACATGGCATTCCAGAGCCGGCTTCCAGAGCCACGAGAGGCCCGTGTGCACAGCAGGAAAGCTGCTTGCTCTCGGGAGCTCAGTGAGCCACAGGCCTCACAGGAACCCACTGTGAACGGTCTTGGGATTCTCCTCAGCGTAAGAGTGACGGTGGCAGGAGTGTCCCAGAGCCCATGGCAGAACTGCCCAGCTGCCATGCGCTGAGGTCTGCATGCCTGCCACAGCTGCCACGGGGAATTACGTCCTCTGCCCCCTAAGATGTGGCTGGGAATCTCAGCTGCTCAGTGTACAGTCTCTGCCACCCGGGGAGAGGGAGCGGTCAGAGAGGGGGCCAAGTGTCAGTGAACACTCCCTGGCGCGGTGGCCTACCAAGTGCAGAAAGCTAGAGAGCAGTCCTTCTGCAGAAGCCCCAGGGCTACCACGTCGCCAGCAGAGCCCCAGCACGCGGCGTCCCTTCAAGGCTCTCAGCCCTAAAATCAGAATGATGGCAGCAGCCGCCCGTCCTGTGCTGATGATGCTCCACCCCAGGTCCATGTGCAGTTCCCCTGGGTCCTGGGGGCTGGCTCCTAGGGCTGGTGCCTTCGGATCCTGGGTCCCCTGGTGGGTAACGGCAAGGAGAGCAGGAAGTGAGAGCGTTTGCAGTGATGCTTCCCCGTCCCGTTCCTGCTTGGCCACTGTGCTGAGGGGCTGGGTCCCCTCTTGACCCAGTCCACACCTGCACCCCTGCTGCTCTCCTGAGTTCCAGGGGCATGAGGTCACCTGCCTCCTTGGGGTGGGGGCTTACTGATGCTGGGCCTCCTTTACCACGTCCCCTCACCACACTTTCAGCGCTTCCTTAAAGTATCTTCATTTGAACCTTCAAAGTGGAATCCCAGTTCCTTCTGGACCCTCCCTAATTGGCACGCTGGGGCCGTCCACCTTAACACACAGCCTGGGTTACAGAGCCCTCGGCCTCCTTGGTTCTACCTCAGAGACCGGATGAAACCCAGAGCTCTGACTGCCTGGCAGGGGCGAGTGGCCTGTCCCTGAGGGTGGACCCCCTTCTGGGCTGAAGGCCTCCCTCTCCGGGTCTCACCAGCACCCCTGTCCCAAACAGCCACTAAATCTGGGGGTGGACCTCTGGCAATGCCACAGTGACCCAACTGGCCTTGAACGAGAACGAGCAAGGGCACAGCTGAGTCGGAAGGGGAAGCGATGGCTGAATGCACAGGGAGCAGCGCTCTTTCCTGATCCGTCTCCTGCCCCAGACAACTCCCTCTCCTCCCTGGCTTGTGTTGACATCAACACAGAGGCCACCAGGACTTACACTGGGTCACAGAGGGCAGCGGTGGCTGACACAGGCCCTCGGGCCACGTCCTGCCCTGGCCTGGCTCCCCTGCCCTCCTGGCCTGGAGCTCGGAGCCAGACCCCACAGGTCCTGGGCTCCCAGGGACCTGAGCAGGGGTCCTGCTCCCAGGACCTGCAGAGTGGGGACATTCTGCCCACCGTCTGAGGGTGTGGGGAGCCTGACCAGGGCTGTGGGCAGACAGCAGTCCCGCTGGCCCATCCCTCCCCTGGCCACCACCTCGCCTGCTCGAGTCCTCCAGCCAGGGAGCCGACTTCCAGAGGCCTCAAACTAGGGCCCAGTACCACTGGCTGTGGGGGGCAGTGGGTAGCGCCTGAATAGAGTCAAAAACCCAATTTACACCTGATTTCAAACCCCCGTCCACCCAGCCAGAGCAGGGTAGTGCCTACCCAGAATGGCCCAGCTGAGAAGGGCGGAACCGTCCAGGAAGACCATGGCATATCCTAGCCCACTGCCCTCTGCACCTCCCTGCCCCCTCCTCCCAAGTTCCCTGCCAAGTACCATGTCTTGAGGTCCCCCTCAATCTTCTCCCACCATCAGGACAAACTTTCTACTGCTCCAGACCTACCACCAGTC